ATATTGGGTAAACAATGATGTGTTCGAATTGCACCGTATGAAGCTTCAAACGTGTTTTCAAAAACGGAATGATTCGTCTTGACTTGTTGACCGGTTTGAGTCACACAGGTCAATGTTTCGCTGACTCTGTGTAAGAAGCGTAAACTATCTCGTCTCTTTCGCTGCACACCAGCAGTCCAAAAAGAAAAAAATAAACTTATGCAAGACGTTCCCCCAGTTTGGTAAGCACTAAATCAGAGTTTGCAGTCGTCCACTCTCCCTTATGCTCTCGCCGTGTACGCGTTTACATGGCGTTGTCATTAGTAGCGGGAAAATCTGCGCAACGGGAAGTGTTGCTGTTGATCAAAATTTACACAAATCAGAAGCCTTCTAAATGAAATTTTATTGTTTAAATTTTGCGGGTGTTTGAGATTTCTCGGACACACACTCAAACAGCTCTCCTGACATCAAGTAAGTATTCTGGTGAGCGCACCTCAAAGAGAGGCAGTATCGGACTCCAGTTCAATTTTCGCGGATTGAACTACACAGGTGCACGAAGTCTGCGGAAAAATTCTCCCATGCCAGCGGCCATTACACAAAACGAATAATAGGTCCGTTTACATGCCAGCCGAATGTGAGAATTCCAGTGAAGTCCGGTAGCCAGAATCAAACGAGTGATTAGAAAAGGTATGCCTTTCTTACACTGGTTTCACAGTATTCCGGCTCATGAAAGCCCCAATGCCTTCCTTGTTTCTTGTTCCTCCATATAAACCTAGTGCATTCCCGATGAGTTCACTTCAGTTGTTGAGTTAACTACGTGGGACGTTCAAGCTTACAAGCCTGTTGATGTTCTTTAGCTGCAGGGCATTTTTTCATATTACATATTTGTAAACTCCATTCGATTACTTTGCGATCGTCTTGCGTCATTAGGTTGCAAAAAAAACTCTAATTTCCTCATCATTATTTTATTGCTCCACTTTGATACCTATCTTTATTCTGCGTGTTCGGTAATTTTGTCCTATTGGGGTTAATTGTGAGGAACATTGCAGTCTGGCGAGAGTCGAATCCGATCCCTGACGCAATAGCACAATGTGTCCAGGCGATTTTATAAGAACAACTGCTGCTTATCTATTTGTGCACATGAAAAAGGGACCCAGTGATTGATATAAATGTCATGCAAATTTTGGTTCTTGACATAACTGATAAGGTTTCTTCTCTATTTGGTTCTGACACCAAAACGAAAGCAAGAGTTCACCTCTCAGGCTGGCCTACTTGATGACGTAAGCAAACCGAGCACTTGGATCCTAATACAGCTTTCCAAGCATAAGCTACACAAATCGCAGTGCATTGTATGAACTACGCCTACCTGGTGAGCCCCAACGAGGGCGAAACCGGCTGTGGGCTGACGACGAATTTTCAGCAACCTTATGAGTAGTGCATTGCGGATATACAGGGTGTCTCATAACAAACGCACAATTTAATTGGGTAAATAAAGTAGCCAACATGGGAAGAATAACAAAGTTTTTTATTATTAGTGGCCACATAAAGGAGGTTTTGTGTGCGAATGTTGACATTTTTTGTTTACGATAGATGTCAGTAAGCGCATTGAAATTGTGGAACTCCATAATTCCCCTGGTGAAAGCGCCACCGCTGCACGTCGTGGTTACAAAACCAAACATGGTTTCATCAAAGATCCTTTCACCGTGTTGACCATTACACGATTGATTGCAAAATTTGGGTCCACTGGGTCTGTATTGAATTTTCCTGGCAAAGGGAGAAAGTCTCTGAGTGATGAAAGAGCACCCATTGTACAGAATTCCGTCGAGCAACTTCAGTCTCAGAGCACCATGGCAACTTACTCAGGTGTCTCAGTTGACCGGCACTCCTCGCACCAGCGTGCATCGTATTATGAGACGCCACCTTCATCTCTACCCGTATCATTTCACTTTATCACAAAACACCACGGAAGAAAAGGAGCAACGTGTCACGTTCTCTAACTGGCTGCTGGACAATGAAGAAATCGTTCCCAACATTTTATGGAGCGATGATGCAAATTTTTCTGTGGATAGCATAATCAAAAGCACAATTGCGTGATATGGTCCTGTGAAGTTCCTCACGAGTACCTCACCCATAATCTCCATTCCCCTCATCTCCGTGTGTGGATGGGATTCTCCTTACAGTGTCTCCTGCGTCCCTTTTTCTTTGGTGCTACGGGTTTCCGGCGACAGTTGCCGCAGACGTGTGTTATCCCGCAACTGAAGCAGCACAAGAATTTATCGACCGTCTTCCAAGAGATGGCGCTCCACCCCACTGCTCAAACCCACTGAGAACCTCCGACAGCAATTTTCAGATGTGAGAGTTATTACTCGTGGATTTCCAAACTTTTGGCCCGCTAGGTCACCCGATCTCACACCTCTGGATCATTGGCTTTGGGGAACGATCAAGGCTTGCGTGTATCATGAAAATAAATTGGAGAATTTGGTAGAGTTAAAAGCAGGAGTTGAAGAGGAGTGTGCACGGGAGACGCTTGAAGAAGTTAAACATGCTGTGTCTCACACCTCATACGGCCTCACACTTGTTATAGAAAAAAGGGGCAATTTGTTTTTGTAATATCTGTTTATTTACAGTAAACCTCCATAATGCGTGTATGTCGGCATAAAAAATGATAAATTTTAAATTTAATTTTAAAGTTTTAACATGGGTATAATTTTTTGCGTTTGTTATGAAACATTCTGTACATGAATCGCGATATCTCGAATGTCGTAGCCACTGAAACATGCGGCGGCTTGGTGCAGCACACTCACTTGCCTGGAAACATCACAAACAAGATTCAGCTGGGTTCCGTGAGAGTCTTTCGAAAGACCAAATTAGTTTTCAACTGAGTTTATTTTACTAACTTCGTGCAATTTGGTTTCAAGTTTCAACATAAGGTTGACAGAAACTCGGGAACTGCGTCTACCTGATGAGCCCCAAAAACGGAGAAACCGGTCGTGTGCTGTCGACGGATTTTCAGCAAACTTATGAGTAGTACATTACATTTGTCTAGCGAAGTTTGGGTATGATTTTTTGTGGCCGAAAAATCGTCGCAAACGTTTTCGTATGCAGCGTTTGGAGTTATTTTCTACTTTGAGATCAAGATTTTCGGATAGACAATGCCTGACATTCTTAAAGTGGTTGCTCCTGTATCGGATATTTTCACCTGGATACATTAGACATTCGGGCGAAAAAAGAATGACTACTTCCTGTAGACGTGTTATTCAAACTGAGGGGATGACTGACCAATTGTTGGCATTCGGCAAAATTAGCTTGTTCTCATGATCTCAGCTAAAGCTGGTTGCCAAGTTTTACGTCTAGAGCATACTGACCTTGCGCACATTGGTGAAAACGTGACTTTTTTCCGGACGTCAGTGCTGTTCACAGGGCTGGGCTTTATGCACGTAATGACTGTCCTGACAGTTTCGAACGACCGATACCAGTCATGTACCAGTCATGTCATACCAGTCATGTCATGTAATTTTTTTGGAGGTAAAATGTTCTCTGACTTCACAAAATGCATAGTTAACCGCAAGGTTTTTCAGGACAGCCCTCTCAGTTGTATGCACCACTGCAGTGAATTTTCACGAAAACTGGTTTGGATATTTTGGCCCAGTTTTCACACATCTTGTTCAGCTAGAGGACGCTGATCCTGAAATTGGCTAAAGAAAAGTAAAGTAAGAAGGTGTGGGATAAAACAGAGTTCCAGGGGGGCTCACCAGTGACCACCGAGATCAATCCTCGTGACGCATCATGTCACCACTATATATATATATATATATATATATATGTTTGTATTTACATACATGCATTGTATCGTGGAAAATTCATGCCAAGTCGGCTGATTGCCACTGTGGGTGCTGCTATGTTGCCGTTTGTGACAAACTGTCACGAAGCTTTGTTCAGTTGAATTTTCATGCATTTTATTTACCAAATTTTATTCAGTTCGTTGCTTCGAACCGAAATATATATTTGTAGATAACCTATCGGCCATCCAGAGCCAGGAGTAAATAGTTTCATTGCGGTTGAATGTTTGAGTTTCGCTAATGCGGAACTCGTCTAGGCACCGCTGAATTATTCGGTCAGGTTTGATCACCTTAGACATCAAGGTGTGCAACATCACGCGGGTTATCGGGCGTTCTAGATACTGCATCCGTTCATTTTAATGATGCCAGAGATGGCGAAACGGACGATCGCTAGAATGTGTGGCGTGCACGCATGTCAGTTGTTTGAATATGCTAAACAACGAACGATTGTGTGTGTGTGTGTGGATATACCTGTCTCTTAAAAGTTGGCGCAAGATTAGAATCGGGAAACCCGAATCTGTTCACAACTTTAATGAACTTGGTCATATATAAGCTCAAAAACTGACCTTATGAGTTAGAACACTTACGATGCGATATTTGAATATATCCGCATTTGGCGTGTTCTTCCATGTGTGGGTCCTCACGGAGGCCGTCGATTTCACAGACTGCGGTAAGTGTTAGGGGCACTTGAGAGCCGGGATATTTTCAACTCCCATCATCTTTCAGCGCTCCAAGAATAACATAATCACACATCACCCTCGTTTGAACATTGGTCCCCCTGTTCTGGCGTAATTATTCTGATGAGTCCCCACGGAAGCGGGTGTGTGAGTGAGGGTTTCGGGCATACATTTCACATCGAGCGACAGTGAACTTGTGAACCAGTTCGGATGGAAGGATCCAGAGGTGTCCAACATACGCTGGTGCACTGATAGTACCCTGCTCCTCGCCTCGTATGCCAGATATCCTCAGTTCAATCCCCAGTACAGCCAAGGATATAAAGTGCCGATGAGCCCCAATGAAAGCAAAACTGAAGTCAAACAAAGGGGGTAAAATATTCTTGTCGAACATGAGTTTGTATCTTCTGAACCCACGTTGCGTAACTTCGGTGGCATTCCGATGAGGCGCACTCGTTAAGGAAGCATGCATTTGCCAGCTTGTTGATTGCACATATAGACTCTATCCATGTTTACGCACATATACAAAGATGAACTGAACATTATGCCTCCACTTACTTTGTTTTCGTGGATAACAGGTACGGGCGTTGGTACTGTGCAGGCGCTGGACATATTCCCGTGCAACAGTGAGCCTTGTATTATCCGGCGTTGGCGAACAGTCACGTTTAGCATAACGTTCACGACAGGTGAGAGATGAAATGAACTCAATTTACAATTTGTGAACCATTCCCTAATTGTATTTTTACGACAAAGCTATAGATGTCCGGACTTAGGGATGGCCGCAGCTGAAAAATGAACGAATTCGCTTGCTTAGTGCTCAGAATGACACCTTTAGCTCCCTAGAGAATGTATGGTATTTTGTATTGGGGTTGAAACATTGGCTGACTGGCGTTACCGAAAAATTAAGCATAACCCAGCAGAAGAGAGTTGTAATTCTCCTTTAAAAGCAAAAACTCTCCCAGTACAAAGCCAAACATTGGTTGTGTTCTACAGTATGCTCCTGGTGATAATTTATCAATTTCAAGCATTCCACGTTTTGTTTTTTGTCTTGCAAACTTGGCATGTAGTTCTCTTTCCATCATTGAACAGCTGCAAACATCGATGCCGGCGCAGTCTGGGTTGGAGGCGGGTACGATTCCAGGACCCTGATGATACCATTACCGCAAAGTTCTGTGTGTCAGAATTTGGCTCCACCCTGTCCCGTCCGAGAGGGAGTAAGCTACACGTACACTTACACAGGCGGGGTGCCAGGCCACATTACACCAGTAAGTCTTCTCAAAGGACGTATATAACTCCGTCGGTCGGCAAGTTCCATACTCGTCTTACCGGCCGCAGAACAGCCCGGTCCATATCGTGAGAATGTACAGGCTAAGTGATCCTAACAGGCTGGGTAGCCAGGATTTTGCTGAATGTCCTTTATTATGGTAATTTGCAATATACCTGTTCCGGGTTAGAACGCTACGTCATATTTTTTTGGTAATTTCCAATACACCTGTTCCGGGTTAGAACGCCACGTCATATTTTTTCAATCCCTTTTTAATATCACACTCTAAGCGCAAACGCTGTTTCAGTTTGCACACAAAAAATCGCCACGAGAGTTGTACACCTAACAGACTGTCCTAGGAATGCAAGACAATACTGTCTACGTGGAGGGAAGCTTGTGCGCTAAAAATGTACCCTAAGAACGGAACGACATGATTAGGAGGCAGACTGACTTCAAATGTATAAAGTTTGTCATGCGATTGCGGTGGTTTAGGTGATTATGTTTTTTTCTGTGAACAGTTCTTCTGATACACATTATAACCTGTCTTCACAGGGCCTTTGGATTATCCGGTGGAAATTGCTGGATACCAACCGGAGACCGTTTGTATGCGTTCAGTTCCAAGCAAAATTCATATGAAATAGAATGCCCAATAAACGTCCAGAAACGAGAATCTTCTGTCTACAAGTGGAGTCTGAAACTCATTCATGTATTTCAAACTTGCTCAATTTTGTACGGGGACGACTACAACGAATTACAAAAAGTAACTATTTCTTGGTTTTTTTCGAGCCCTATGGACAGTGTGTTTGGAGGAGAACGGACCGAAAATGATGGGGGTGGGGGGGGGGGGGAAGGTGGGAGAAATATTTTGCCCGAGAGCTTCAGGCGAAGAATGCCCAAGTTTGACTGTCGCCATCTTCAGTGGCAAATGAAAAGAGAGCTATTCACTGAAATACTAATAAGAATAAGTCATTCATTAAACAAGTAAACAATCGTCACTGAACAAACTGTGAACTGGTGGTTTTAAATTGATGTCAAGCCATGAAAATCATTTTCTACCGTGGGGTTGGATCCCAAGTTTCAGAGGACCTAAACTAGGCCCTGAGTATTTGGTTCGGTCTACCTGTCACATGAATTGCCCGGTACTCAGAGTCACTGTTTTCGTTTAGTGTGTGTGGGCCGAAAATACTTATAGTTTTAATCGTTATTTCTCGTTAGATCTGTTCCCTTGAAATCAACCCAATGACGCAATTTACTCTAGGCCAGTATTTCAGACAACATTTCGATCTTGCCCTGCACGCTTCAGTGGATGCTCAGAATTCATTGTCGATAATTTTTCTCAGTCTGGTCAGGGCTGGTTGACGTTTATTTACCCAAAATTGTCGTTTTCTATAGACCGCGTTATTGAGGGAAAAGCAAGCATACATGAATCCGCCAGCACTGAAGGGCCCCGTCTGTTGGCTGCGAGCATTATTGTTAACCAGTTTCTTTTAGTTATTGGATTTCTAAGCAGTTATGACAAAAACACAAGGCAAGGCAATAAATAAATCGGTTCCAGAAACTCTAACACCTGTAGAACATACTGGAAGGAGCTTAGGGTCACAGAAACCTTGCAAACTGGGTCCTGGGGAGGAGCGTCTCATGTCTACAGGTCAATCACCAGGACGCACTGGGCCTCCATTATTCCAGCTTTGTGCATTCAGTAAGTTTGCCGTAATGTGAAGATGAACATGTGAAGTCGACAGGTCTGAATGAACCCAGAAAACCATACTTCCAAGTGTCAATGTCTTTCCGTTAGGATAACAAAATTGAATCAATGATTCCATTTCGAATAGAATGTAACAAACGGCCAGAGGGCTAAAGTCAAACAGATGAAAGTCAACCATATTCCAGCGATACAAGGAAAGCGGAATAACAGACAGTGTTTTTGGGCAATCCAGTTTACCACAAGTTATGTCGCCGGTTTGGATTATTATTTCGATACTGGATAAACAGTACGACCACAGTAACCTGAAAGCCCCAGTCTGATGGCAATTACGGAAGGCGATATTACTAAAGCTGAGGCGACTTCTGCACTTGGACCTGTACTTAGTTCGTCGAATTCAAGCCAACTTCCAGAGGGCGGAATTGTAGTCAGGACGCCACTTTATTTGAAAGTGCGCCTTCTTGTGTTACACGCTAACGACGCCTAGACCTCGACATATACACTTTTCTGCACGCAAATTTGGTTTAGAATTGAAACTGTGGCTGAAATGTCAGCTTAGCAAATGGCATGAGGCAAAATCAAGCGTTTAGCGTTTAGATTTTTTACCAAGCGGTTTTCAGCAGAGATCCCCACTTGGTTGCCGCAATTCCTCAGATTTGTTTGTGTGTTTGAATATAGTTGGTCTTCTTTCAGATTATCTGTTTGTAAGATACTCCGTCGCACAGAACTAATAAATAAAATAGGGATTAAATCAGTCAGTGGACCTCCGTCGATTAACCCGTTTGCAGAAAGTGCTACTGTTCTCACGGTGCGCAAACGAATTCACTTTTCTTTTCACTAACTTGAGTAATCTGCTCGCGCTTCACGCATGCTGAGAAAAATCTTGTCAACAGGATCATTACACCGAGAGACACAAATGTGAGTTATTATGCTACCGGAAGCACTTCGGTCTGAGAATTCCGAATGTACGTCCGATTGATGTTGGTGTGCGGGGAAAACGGCAGTGTCCGTCTTCGCTTCCAGGTCGGGCGTGGCTGGGAAATGTGCTTGCAGAGAAAAACGATGAGCCGCAACGTGAACTGTAAATGCGCAAAAGAGAAATGCATGCGGCAGGCCTAGAGCTTACGCTCTGTCGAGCAAGGAGTACTGATACTTTTCTAGGGTTTGATTTGACAAAATAAACTGTGATAGTGTAGGTCCTACAGACATTTCCCCCTGAGTAATCGTTGTTGCTCGTATTATCATCAACATGCACCCAATCAGAAGTGCATGTAAAAACTCGCCCGGTTGTCGAACACAGTTCGAGAAAGCTAACGCAACGGCCGCTTAAATAATTGGGTTAAAATTCTCGGTTCGATGGAAATTAAACAGACGTGCATCTTTATGTCTTGAAGGTAAGCAGAGGGATTCGGTTTTACATCGACAGGCCATTAGCGGATACAAAGATTAATGCTGTACGCTTGTATTTATGTTGCCTTGGTGTCATTGGGCATTCTTTTCAATGGAACGCGAAGGCAGAAGCTGAACACGGCAGAGAGACTCATTGGAGATCACTTCATAAAGCACATGACAAACGCTTGCATATCTTTCCATTATGTTCTTCGTTCAAAATCAATCACGAAGTAGTCTATGGCCGTTAGCCGTTAGAACCTCCCGCTTTCAGTGTACAACACATGTTCCACCTATTTAATGAATGCGGAATGTCGAAGATCCGATGGACTTGGGTCGCGTTCTCGGGTTTTCAGGAAACCCATGCCTAAATCACTGTGGTTGATCAGATGGTCGCCTAAAACACCGCATCCTTACTGTCGAGCGTGATGTCTGTAGCGCACGCATGCAACACGTCCACGTTCGGAGTTAGAGAGTACGGCGTAATGGGTGGCTGAGACATGCTTGATATTTCTCGACGTATGAGGGTAAATCGCTTCTGGAAATTTCAAGTTTCGGCTTTTCGTTCCGTAGGAAGCCAATGTGGTCACTTTGATTTCCAGGACCAACTAGTGATTATATTGTGAAACATTTACATAAATCGAAACATTCAAGAAACATCCACCTGCTTGGACAGGTTGAATTTGGATGTCAGGCAATAATTCATCTTGAAAAACCCGACCTTGACGACAAGTTGCTTTGAATTTTGATGAATAAATATCCCAAGACGTCTCAAGAAGCAATCTTTTCCATCTGTCATCCAAGGGAATACACTTGGTCGCCCTATTCATTTGCTGTGTATTTTGAGGCCTATCGGGCACCCCGTATGCTGTTGAATTTAAAGATTGCGGTAGGTTCCTATGGCATATGCATATTAGGTTTCCTCTGGTTTGATCACGGCTTGACTCCCTCTTCAATAGCCATAGGACCCTCACAACTTCTACGCTAGTCATGTTGATCAAATATTTATATTTTCTGAAGTTATGCATGCAAGTCAAGATTGTTGCCTGAAATGCACGATTTTGGATTACTTACATGGACCCATCCAATGTATACATCGAGTCCGATTTCATTTGCCGACGGATTTATACCGTAAACGGGTAGAAACGACCTGATCGATTGATTTATCAGAATAAAGCCAAAGGAGTTCGGAGTCCGTCGGGCAGTTCGATTCTCCTTGTGAATGCTGGACCTAGACAGTCCTCATCAATGCTGTTCCTCGAGGCTTGGATTTATGCATAGTTAAACCGCAAGGTTTCTAAGGACGCCCCACCCCCAGTTGTATGCAAAGCTGCAGTTAATCTTCATGAAATCTGGTTAGGTATTTTGGCCCAGTTTTCACGCAACCCGTGGTAGGTGAATAATGTTGAAATCGGTTAAGGAATATACATACATGCATTGTATCACGGACAATTCGTGCTGAATTGACTGATTGCCATTTCGGGAACTGGTTTGTGCCAATTTGTGCCAGACTGGCACGAGGTGCTCCATGTATTTTATTTGCCAAATTATATCCATTTCATTGGTTAGATTAGGAAAATCTACTTTTGTAGATAACCCAGAGCCAAACTTTGCCTGCACCCCAGGGGAAGCATGGCCGTTGAACGTCTGAGTTTTTCCTAATGCGGAGCTGTTTGTTCGAACTCGTCTAGGCGAGGCTGCCTCATTCGATCAGGTTTGATCACCTTAGACATCAAGGTGTGGAACATCACGCGGGTTATCGGGCGTTCTAGATACTGCATCCATTAGCTTTTACGATGCGAGAGAAGGCGAAATGGGCTATCGCTAGAATATGTGGTGTGAACGCACGCAGCTGTTTGAATTTGAATAAACAACGAACGTTTGTGTGTGGTTCTGCCTGTCTCCCTAAAAACGTGACTTAAGTTTAGGGTCATATAAAAGCTCAGTGGATTTGAGAAACTGACCTTGTGAGTTAGAACACTTACGATGCGATATTTAAATATATTCGCGTTGGGCGTGTTCTTCCATGTATGGGGCCTCACGGAGGCCGTCGATTTCACAGACTGCGGTAAGTGTGAGGGGCACTCGACAGCCGGGATACATTCGATTCCCGCAATCTTGTGGCGTTCGAGGAATCACGTAATTCATATAGCATTGTTTCTGGCCTTCACATCACCCTCGTTTGAACAGTCGAACTCTTGTTCTGGCGTAATTAGTCGGGTGAGTTGACCCGTAACTGTGTGTGTGAGCGGGTTTTCGGGCATACATACACTGAGCGGCAGTGAACTTGTTAACCAGTTCAGATGTAAAGATTCAGAGGTGTCCAACATACGGTGGTGCACTGATGGTACCATACCCGTCTTGCATGTCAGACGTCCTGAGTTCAATCCCGAGTACGGCGAAAGATGTGAACAGCCGATTAGCCGTAATGAAAACAAAGCTGAAGTCAAATGTAGGACACAGAATATTCTTGCTGAACATGAGTTTGCGCTATTTGTACCCACGTTGCGTAACGTTCGGTGTTGTTCTGGTGAGGGGCACAGTTTTGTGGAGCATGCATTGCTAACTTGTCGACTGCGGACGTACGCCTATCCGTATATAAAAATGAACCATATATACATATATCTATATATATACATATGTATATCAAGTCAAAATAGACATTATGCTCCCCTTTACGACTTTTGCTGGATAACAGGTACGGGCATTGGTAATGTGCAGGCGCTGGACATATCCCCGTGCGACACTGAGCCTTGCATTATCCGGCGTTGGCGAACAACCACGTTTGGCATCACGTTCACGACAGGTGAGCAATAAAATGAACTCGCTTCAAAATGTACTAACCATTTCCTAATTGCTTTTCCATGGCTGAATTCATGTCCCAGAGCCTCGGAGGGCCGCAACTGATGAACAAATTGCTCTTGCTCATTGACCGGAAGGCAACCTCTACAAACATACAGAACGAATTGGAATTTTGTATCGGGGTCGCAACATTGGTTAGCTCACCCGATCTGATGTGGAATGGGTGTGAAATATCAAGCATAAATAAGTGTAAGAGATGTGAAGTTGCAACTGTACCTAGAAACAGTAAAACCATCTTTCATAGTAAAAACGCAAACATCAGTATTCTTTCCGTGATAATTTATCGAATCGAAGCATTCTACTTTCTGTTCTCCAGTTTTTAGAACTTGACAAGCACTAGGATGTACTTATTCTCTCCTTCCTCGAACAGCTGCAAACATCAACGCGGGCGCAGTCAGCGTTGGAGGCGGATACAATTCGAAGGCCATGACGATTTCCTTACCGCGGAGTTGTGTGTGTCGGAATTTGACTCCACCTTGCCCCGTTCAAGCGGGAGTAAGCTACACATACAGTTACACAGGCATTGTGCACGGCTTTGTAACCCCTGTAAGTCTAAAGGAATTTACGAAGAGTATGAACACGAAGTATATTGCGTTTATCGGTCAATAAGCTCGATGCCGGTTCTAGCGGCTGTACAACAGCAATGTCTGCGACCTGGGAATGTCCGACAGTTTAGGTAGCTAAGATTTCACTAACAATCCCCAAGTATCCCTAAACCAGCTTTTCTGCGTTAGAATGCTTCGTTTTAATTTTTGATCCGCATTTAGTATCAAAATTGCAGCCCTCTTCCATATCCTTGGGTTGTGCAAACGGTGATCTGGTGTGCACACACAAATCGCCATGTGAGTGTTGTACACCCAACACACGGTTCCAGGAAGGTAAG